CTCTTCTATTCCCTGTTAAAGGAATTTCAAAGGACAAGGAGAAAGCTGGGAAGCCCTGTGGTGACTGTAGGGAAAAGAGCAGTGGGAGGCTCCCCCACCCCATTAAATTCCTGCCGTCAACTCAGAACCACCATTTGGGCACATACATCACTCTCAAATACCAGCTGACAAAATGGGGCATCCACACCTGACACTCCAGACAAGCACAGAGCAACCTTCCAGCCTTGAAATGTAGCATCTGAAAGACCACCTCAGCCCCAGCCCCAGGCGTGGAGACAACCGGATCACTTGGAGAAAGAGAAGGCCCATGCTGTGCCCCGCCATGCTTCTAGGCAGGGAAACAAAACAAAGGCGGGCTCCAGATGTAGGAGTGGCCCAATGCCACCGCACTGCCCAGCATGCCTGAATCTGGGCTTTCCAGAGAGTGCACCCAGGATGGATGTGCAGAGGGATCCACTTCTCCGGTTTCCAGGGTCCAGAGTCAAGGGAAGCAGAGACTTGCCCATGAAAGGCAATGAGAAGACACAGAGAGACAAGAGTCCTGGGTTCTAGCCACAGCTCTTCTCCAGCTGGCTGTGTAACCTTTGACAAATCATTTTCCCTCTCTGGGCTTCAGTTTCCCCATCTGTCAAAGGATCCCCTCAGGATCCTTCCAGCTCCAGTGTTCAGCTCTTCCGTTGCCAACAGCCTCTCCCTGGACCTCACAGGGCTAATCGTCCTCCTCCGGGAGCTCTCTCTTCAGGGGACTCTCCATCAGAGAAAGGCAGCCAGAGAAAGCCCTGAGAGGAATTCCAAGAGAACAATTGGGAAGCATCTACTTTTCATACCGGGTCCTGAAAGCACACTCCTATGTCTATGAACAGTGCATGTAGATGATGCTATATTTTGTATATTTTATATCACAAGTTTCACTCCTCTGTAAGGTGCCTCTGCACTCCAGTTCTCCTGTCCAGGGGACTAAAGTGGAAATAAACCTTCAGTGGATAACCAACAGCCTGTGTTTTGGTGTCTGGTTACTTTTGATGTTTGTTTGCCTTGACCTTTTGAAGAAAATCTGGCCCCTCATTAAGCCCAAATCTCTCCCATTGCAGAAATAGTACAATTTTTGTCACCTGGACATCATCCAAGAAAGGGTATGAGGAGTGGAGTGGTTATGGGCGTGTGTCCTCTCGGAGGCTGCCTGTTCCATCATGGAAGTGCCGGCCATTTAAGCCCTTGGCTCCAGAGAGCTCAAACTAGCATGCAATGCAAGGTCATGGGCATCTAGGTCTCACACAGGCAAAGAGAGCTCAACGTCGTCAGAGTGGAGATAGCAGTATGATGGGACCTTGAGGACAGAGAGGTTCATACAGATGAAGGAGATCTGGGTAGCTCTGCAGAGAGGTTGCAAAGAACGCCCTGGGAGATGGGAGGGGAGGGGCAGAGGAGACAGCGATCAAGCAGGAAAGTGTACCCTGAGTAGAGTGGGAGCAGTGGGGATGAGGGAGAGTGGGCAGTCTTGAAGGTCATCCTCTGTGCTCCTTCCTATAACCAGTAATTCTCTAATTTGGGGCATATCGGAATCACCTGGGGTGTTTAAAAATGCAGATTCCTGGGTCTCACCCATGGGAAGTTCTGAATCAGCAGGCCTGAGGGTGGGCAGCTTACTGTGGAAAGTGAAGGGCTTAGAGGGACGGAACTGAGCTAGAGAGAGCAGTCAGGAAATTACTGCAACCATTCTGGACAGAGGTGGGGAAGACCCACCAGACCTAGGACACGACAGTGCAGATGTGAGGGTGGGGAAGTTCGAAAACATGTAAGTAGTGTATTCGGCAGGGTGTGATGTAGTGGTATCGTGTGAAATAGTGCAGACACAGAGGTGTGGGGTGACACAAACTAACGTGTTAGTGACGGCTCCCTGTGGGATGTGCTCTCGGTTTGCCTTTGGGGTTTTTATTGAAATGAAAATGTCATGGTTTTTACACTCTTGAGAACTAAGGAAATCCTGCATTATGCTTTATACTTCATATGTAGCTGGTTTCAAAGATTATCATGTTTTGTGTGCTGTTACATTTCAGATTTTTACTTTCCTCTAGATAATTTGGATTTTATGTTGTGACATACTGAGACACTGAGGCGTCTTGAGGTTGCATGGAGAGCACATTATGACATGGAGGGGAGGAGACGCATTACTTTCTGCTTCTTCTGGTGATTTTTTACCAGTTTAGTGGCTGATTGGATATGGGAGTTGAAGAAAGGGGAGGCAATAAGGATGCGGTCTATACAGACATTCACAGACATCTGGAATAATGAAGGGAAGAAGGTTGGTGGAGGGTGGAGACCAGGGCTTGGTTTTGCTGCCTTTGAAGAGTTCACGAGTAATCCAGCTGGAGGCGGAAGGAAGGACTGCTTCAGAGGAGAGAGCAAGTCAGAAACACTAATCTGAAACTCACCAGGGTCTAAGTGGTATGATGACATAGGAGGAGATGGCATTTTGCAGAAAAGGAAAGGGAGCTGAGGACTGAACAAGGGGAACACCAGCATGGAAAGCATGGAGAGAAGAAGAGAAACCCCAAGAAAGAGATAAAAAAGGAATCAGTAACACAGGAAGGGAAGCGCTTCAGAAGCCAAGGAGAGAAAGTGTCAAGAGGGATGAAGTTGTCAGCAGTGCAAATGACCCAAGATGGTCCAGAGGACACCTCCAGGCTGGACTTCCCTGGGCGCAGGGACCCCATCTCTACTGTCAACTTTGAGATAAGATCCAAAGAGTAGGCCTGTGTTCATGTTGAAGTCCCTAACCCCCTCTCCCTCTTCCTTCATACTCCTTGTCTTTAATCTTCCTCCTCCTCCAGCTTTTCCCCCTCCTTTACCTCTTCCTACTGCTCCTCCTTTATTTTTCCCACTTCTCTCTCTCTCCCCCTCCCTGTCTCTCTCTCTTCCCCACCACCTGCCCCCCCCCACTCTCCCTCACCCTCTCTTCTTTTCTCTGTTCCTCTCTCTACCCTTCTTCTAGGTTTTATGTCTTTCCTGAGGCAGCACACTGCTCTTACAGCCTCCTTTCTCTATGGCTTATATGCTCAGCTCCCTGGGTTTTGCTTCCTTGAAACCTACAAATCTTTTCTTCTTACCACAGAGCCTGACTCTTCCAATGAAAAGTGTATTTCCAGACTTTGTCTTCTGCTTTGCTCTTTCAAAAGTCAAAGCTGTATCTAACCTCATCTGAAACAATGGATGCTCCAGCTTTAATACTGGGTGACCACAAGTCAAGGAGAATTCCTAGAGATGAAGAATGTATGAGATAAGATTTCAAAACTAGTATCTTCCTGTACATGTAAATATAACCATCGAAGTTCCATTTATGGGCCCAGAGCCATCCTATCTCCATCTGTGATTATGGCTCTATTAAATATTCAAGCGGCCACATTATTTCCAAGTCTGTGCAGCGCATGGCACTTTCTTCTTTTGAATCCATCTCCAAAGGACAGGGAATAATGTGGATATTGATTGTCAACTTCTCTTTCCAAAACCTTGACTATGGAAGAGAGGAGAGGGAAAGATCAGGAGTGAATGAGAAGCAGGGAAAGTGGAGATCTGATTTTAAGGATGAGAAGTCTTGACCATGTTTTGGAGGCATAAACAAAGGAGAGATGCAATATGGAGGAGAGGGTAAGAATCTCCAAAGCCAGATCCCCATGAATTTGGAAATGAGGAGATCGATAACGCAGAATTAGTTCTGAAGAGAAGAAAGTTCACAGAAGGAGCAGATGGAGAGGAGGATGGTTGGGGGAGTTCCCACCCCATGGGCTCTGAGTATCTGAGGGACTTGGGGCAGGATATTAACTTGAGGCAGCTGGCTGAGGGCACTGGAATGATGATGCTGGGAGATGCTGGAGATTCAGTCAAGGTTGCAAACCATTCATCTATGATTTTCCCCAGCCCCATTCAGCAGCCTGGTGATAGCCCCAAAGAAGGCAAATGACTGCCTAGATCCAGGAGCTTGGGGTATGAGTGCTCTGGGAGTCATGTAGTGAGAGTTAGTGGTTCTGGCCAGAGTTGGGATAGCCCAGAGTAGAAATCAGGAGTCCTAGAATTAAGAGTGTTGCCACTAACTTATGGAGTAACTTTTGGGAAGTCAGTTCTCTTCTCTAGGCCTCAGCTTCTTTAACTGCTTGATGAGAGGGACAGACTAAGAGGATCTCCAAGGGCTGTTTACCTGTAAGGTCCTATGTGTCTGTGTCTACGAATCCAAGCCAGTGGAAACAGAGTATGGAGCAGTCAGACACTTGTTGTGGGGATCTTCAATACCCCCTCCCAGGTCATGAGGAAGAGCTTCTCCAGGGAGGAAAGATCCCTATGGATAGAGAATGAAAATTCTTTATTAGTCAGGACTCTTCCATTTATCTGTCAGAAACCCAACATAAACAGCTTAAGGGGAAAAAAAAGAGAGAATTACAGGTTCACATAGCTGAAAAGTCCATACCAAAAGGCTTCAGGTATGGTTAGATCAAGGGGCTCAAAAATCAGGATACAGTCTATCTCTTGCTTCACTCCTTATCTTCTATTTCCACTTTTTTTTTTTCTGTTAGTAGCATTTTTCTCAGCAAACTTTCCATGAAGTGATCATTGGCAGATCTGGGCATATAGCCAGCAGTTTGACTCCTCCAGAAGAGAAAGACCTTCTAGCAAAATTCCCAAGGCAGGCATTCACTGGCCTGGCGGGGTTACATTCCCATCTCTGTGCAATCACCTTGACCAGAGTAAAAGAGGCTTTCACTAGGTCTGGGTCACATTCCTACCCCTAGAACCAGAGGTAAGATCACTGCAACTCAGGCTATATGGACTAGGAATGGGGGAAGAGAGGACCCCAGAGGAAAATTGGGGTGCTGCTACTAAAAGGGGCAATGGGTGCTGGGAGATCAAAAATGACAGATGTTCCTAACAGAGGGTAATGACCTGGCAGCTCTGGTAAAGGGCAAGATGGAGCCCAGAGTGTGATCTGTCCCTCCCTCCCTTGGCTACAGTATGTGGGATTCCCAAGTTCTCCCGGAATCTGATGGCCAGGATCTTCAGTGGACGCCCAGCCCAGAAGGGCACCAACCCCTGGATTGCTATGCTGTCACACCTGGATGGGCAGCCCTTCTGCGGGGGCGCCCTTGTAGGTAAGGAGAAGGTGGAAGGGGTGGGGGACCCAGGGTCAGAGGGAGAGAGAAGGTGGAAAGAAAGGGACTCTACCCACTTCCTGGAGACTGACAAGATTTCTTCACTGAGAATCTTGCATACTAGTAGCAGGGCCCAGAGGTACAGTGTGGTAGAAAGAGCCCTTAACTGGAGCCAGGGGATGTGTGTTCTGATCTGGCCGGCTCCTTCTGTCAGCAGCACCTTCTGAGCCCTGGGCAGTCTCTGGCACTGAAAGGGGTTAGGGAATCCGACCCTCAAACATGGATCCCAACACAAGGCACCTACATGTGACTCACAGTCAAGGTGTGCCAGTGCTGTGGGACCAGAGAGAACCAGAAAACCCACCCTCCAAGAGTCGGAGAAGGGAGTTTACAAAGACCTTGAATGCCATGCGTGGGAATTTAGATTTTACCCTGAACGTTGCTGCAGGTTTTATAAGCATCTTCTGGGAAGTTCTCACCTGAGACAGCAGGGATTGAAAAAAGAGTGAATCTGGAAGCCAAGAGTCCTGTGAGGTGGCTATGGCAATAGTAGGGAGGGAAGGCATTAACTTCAGAATAAGGACAGAGGATAAGGGATAGACACGAGGCAGATTAAAAACCACCGGGAAATAGGATTGTCAGAATTTTGTGATGGACTGAATGTGGTTGGGAGTGGGAATGAAAGCAAGAAAGAAATGGTTTATGGCTCTTCCTGCCACAGTTTGGTCCAGATGAACTATGGTCCATCCCAGCTCTGACATAATAAAAATTAATAACAATCTCGAGGCCCTCTGATCCCATCACAAGAGGAAGAAGGCAAGGATGGGTCCACCTCTGCTGGGGCAGCTCCAGGGCTGCCAGACTCGCCTCGCCCTGACCCACCGTCCTCCTCTCACCCTGACCCACCATCCTCCTGGGTGCATTCAGGTCAGGACAGCTCCCCAGCAGGGATCCCTGAGAGGGGGTACCAGGCCTGCTGAGGGCTGCACTCCAGACATCCCGGGACATGTGAAATGGTAACCCAGCAGAGGGATTGATCCTTTTATTTCCACAGCCACAAAAATGAGCTGTCTCATTCTATGGAACCACACAGAGAGTGAGGACAAGTTAAAGGGGAGCCCGTGGGGAGTGGGCAGGGGAGAAGACCACAACAAGAAGGGAGGAAGAGGCAGAGACAGGGTCATAAGGATGAAGATAGAGAGACAGAAAGGACAGAGAGAAAATTAGAGTAGTGAAGAGAGATTAAGGGGAAAATAAAAGGAAACAAATACAAGAGGAAGAGAGGCTGGTAGGTCACAGACACTGGAGAGAGAAAGAGAGAGAGAGAGAAAGAGAGAGAAGAGAGAGAGAGAGAGAAAATCAGGAAAGGTAAAGAATCAGGGAGGACCCAGAAAAGAAGAAAGTGTCAAAAGAAAAGCAGAGAGGCGACGGGGAGGAGCAGAAAGGGAGAGTGGAAGAGAGTGAAGACATTTCCAATTTTGTTAGAATGTGAGAAAAGAGATGGAATTAATTAAGAATTAGTTTTCTGAAGACTTTGAGTGTTTAAGTTCAATAAGCTTCAGTGCTTCTTTGTATCTTCTACATGTCTACTCCCTGTACATATGTTTTGAAAGGTGTCTGAATTCTACTTCTCTACCCTCAGCCAAGCTTCAAACTCCTACAGGTTTCACCCCACCTCACCTCCTCACCCCTCAATGTTGCTTTCCTCATCTAGAATCTCTCTCCTCCTCCAGTCATTCAGTTTTGTAGATGGAGGGAGGTGGCGAGAGGGCAGAGGAAGCTGGGAAGGAGCTTAGGGACAGACAGAGTGAAAGTGCCTGTTCAGTGCTCACCCTGAAGCCTGGGCAGGGGTTTCCTGGCTCAGGGACTCAGTGTTTGCAGAGCTGGGAAGCAAAGCCAGGTCTTCGGACTCACCATTGCACACCCTAGGTTCATCTCAATGGCCCAGAGCCCTGATCTGAGGCAGGCCTCCTAATCTGGGGATCTCGTCCCACTTTATTCACTTGGAAAATTTGGCCAACAGCCCCTGAGTATGAATAGAGATCAAAATACCACCAGGGAAAGAAGGTGGCGTGTGTGGAGCTCTATCCAGAACCCAGTAACCAGAGTTCACAGCTGCTCCTGAGAGGGCCGAGTGAAACCTGGAACTTGCAACAGAAAGGGACCTCTACCCTGGACTCTGAACCTGCCCCAATACCCCCACCCCTAAGCCCTGGTGCCCTTCTTTCTGCTTTGCTCATCCCAGTATATCTCTGGGCTCAGCTATTTATGGGTTTGTCATCTGCTCCACCATGAGGATGAATTGAGGCCTGACTGTACATTAAGCAAAATGCAGGAACCTGTCCATCAAGGGACAGAGATAGCCAGAACACAAGAGATGTGCTAGGGTGACCATCAGGAGACCCAGGGTCTAGCCCTGGCCTAGCCACCAACCGGCAGGTTGGCCCTAGACATCCCTGCACTCCTCCAGGCCTCAGAATCCGTATCAGTGAAATGAGAGTTTTGGCTCAGAGCAGTGGTTCTCAGCCCTGGTGACAGTAGAATCATCTGAGGGAAACTTTTAAAATGTATTTAAACCTGGGCCCCACCCCCATGATTTAGATGATCTGGCTTTAGGCTCAGGCACTGTTTTTGGGTTGGTTTGTTTTTCATTCCCCAAGTGATTCTAAATGTGTACCCAAAGTTGAGAAGCACCACGTAGAACAGTGCTTTTCAAACTTTAATATGCACAGGAATTACTTGGGGATCCATTAAAATCCTCAGATGTTACTACTGAATGCAGATTCTGATTCAGTAGATCTGAGGTGGGGCCTGAGAGTCTGCATTTCTAAAATCTCCCAGATGAGGCTGACGCTGCTGGCTGAGGGACCACACCTTGAGTAGCAAGGCCTGAGGGGCAACTAGTGAGCACAAGGCTTTCTGTGGATACCCTGGGCCATTTGGAGCTCACCAACCCCATGGGTTTAAGGAGCCCTGAAATCATCTTTGAAACACTCAGACTTGGCCTGGGTTGGAATAGGCAAATGAGATCATAGAATAAACTCTTCAGTTCAGATTAGGATCATGAGTTTCTGACCTGGGGCTGTGAAATGCAAGGGAGGAGGTGTCAATGGAGAGGAGTGGTCTGAAGGCCCTCAGCTTGAGGCAGTGGGAGGCAGGGCAGGGCCAGGCAGGACAGTGTGTGTGTGCAATTCTGTTCTCAGGCTCCAAGTGGATTGTGACCGCAGCTCACTGCCTTCACCAGCCACTGGATCCAGAAGACCCAATCCTACATGACTCAGACTTGTTCAGCCCCTCTGCCTTCAAAATCATCATGGGTGAGTGAGAAGCAAGCTGATTCCTGAAGCCACCTGTGGTTTGGGATATGGGGCATGTCTCAGTCATCAGGGATGGTGACTAGTAGGATGAAAAATGAGCCAAGACTGGAGTCCAGGGACCTGAGTCCAAGTCCAAGGCTGCGATTCTCAGGCGGTGGGACCATGAGAAAGGCCTCTTTGAAGTCGAGGCCTCAGTTTTTATAATAGACCTCCATCAAGATAATTTCCAAAGATGCTTCAGACTTCTATGAATCTGTGGTTACAAGTGAATCATATACAAACAATCCAAGCTTCCCCTCTCCTTTGTAAAATCAGGACCACCAGTGGATTCATTTCTATTCATCACATACTTAACATCCTGACACTATGCCAGAATCTGAAGATGCAAGTTCCTGCACACTAGGAGCTTACAGTCTAATGGAGGAATAAAATATGAGCACAGAGACCTCTCATATAAAACAGGAAGCAGTGAGCTATAGGAGAGGAACAGATAAAGTGCCAGGAGTTCACAGGGAAGAGACTTGTGACTGAAGAATCTAACTCAAGGATCTAAGAGGTTTCATGGCAGAGGCAACATATGACCCAGGCAAGGAAGGGTGACTGTATGGTTTGGACAAGTGGCAGAGGGCATTGAATGAGTATTATAAGGTAATTGGATCAGATCATGAAGAAAGACAGAGTTCGGAGCCCAGGAGAATATGTGGGGAAGGGCAGATAAGGTGGAATGACTTGGAAAAAGGTAGAGGAAGGGCAGTATAAGGCTAGAAGCATGGGCTGGATGGAACAGGGGCTGGCGGGGAACAAGGCATGACCTTGTCCTCCACGCTCCCATTGCTCTCATGCCTCATGTGCCTTCTTCTTGCCCAGGCAAGCACTGGAGGCGCAAATCAGATGAAAATGAACAGAGACTCAGCGTCAAAAACATCTTCCTCCATCCTCTGTATAACTCCGGCACGTTTGAGAATGACGTGGCTCTGGTGGAACTATCAAAGAGCCCGGTGCTGAATGACTTTGTAATGCCCATCTGTCTGCCCTGGGGGCCACCGCAGGAAGGTACCCCTCCCCACCCATGATCGCCCTTCTGCAGAGCCCCTGGTGTCTCCACTGGACTTCTCCAGCATTGGTCTGGCTCTAGTGCCAACTGAGTCAGCTGACAATGTTGGCGTGATTCCTCAGCTCCCTCCCCTAAAACAGCTAAGTCAGAACTGGTTCCAAGGCAGCACACGTAAACAGGCAGGCTTGTTCAGTACTGTAAGAACTTTGTCAGCCAGGGTCCAGGTAGGAAAACAGAAACCAGACCAGTTATTGTAACAGAGAGAATCTGACATAGGGTATTGGAGGATTGAAGACGTAAAAGGGGAATGCTGAGACGACAGAGATAGCACCTGCAGGAAGAAACCGCCAGTCCTGGGGCTGGGGGAACAAAGGGAGAGGCCGGAGTTACAGAACCTGGGAAGTTTGGACACCACTGCTGGGGTGAGGAACCCCTGCTAGGGTGATGCCAACAGTAACTGTAAGCCTTCCTGGAAGCACCCCCTATTTTCAGGAGGCCTCCTGACAAAGCAGATCTGCCATTTCAGGGTCTCATCCACAGCATCACAAAGCAGAGGGTAGAAGGGTAAGTTTGGAGCTGAGGGACAGCAGCTTAATCCCCAGCACAGGCTCCAGTCCCTGGGCTGCCTTCTCCTAGTTGGGTGACCTGGAGGGAGCTGCTGAACCTCAAGCCCCTTACCGCTACACTGGGGATACCCGGGGGTGGTTGTGATGCTTAAAGGAAATAATACGCAAACATACCCAACATAGTGTGAGAGTCCAACCCAGGCCAGCTGGCTTTCATTTTATTCTGTTCTGAATTCCGTGTCACAGCTAACCTCCTTTAGTGCAAAGAAGTTACTTTTTAAAATAGCTGAATGTATTCAGGGGAAGTGAGCCAACAGGAAAGGCACAGATATGGCTCTGATTCATCAGATGCCCTGTGCCTACCATGTACCACTCAGTTTACATCAGTTAACTTATTTAGTACTTATAAAAGCCTGGTGGGGTAGTACTGTAGTCCCATTTTCCAGATGAGGAAACTGAGGCTCAGCAAGGTGAAATGACTTACCCAAGATACAGCTTATAAGAAGCAGATCTGGGGCTAGACTCCCAGGTTTCCAATTTAAAGCCCAATGCTGTGTTCAGTATCTGGGCTCTTTTTCAAATGAAGAAGTAAGTGCTCTATCAGTGCTCAACCACTTCCACAGTCCCTTCAGATCTGCCAACTTTATAGACTTCTAGGCTATTATAGCTGGGAGGGGTTTGGGAGAATACCAAATCCAGCCTCTTCACTTTATGGATGGGGAAACTGAGGTTCAGGAAGGGAGAGGGGGTGAGGGCTAATGGCAGCATATCCTATTGTGGACTAGGCTGGAATTTTTATTTATTCACAATCATTGATTGAGCACCTACTATGTGCCAGCACTGTGCAGGCATGGGGATACAGCATTGAATAAGATAGGTAGGATTACTGTTCTCGTGGGGCCTAGGTTCCAAGCTAGTTGGGAGTGGGAGGGAACAGACAGTGAGACAAACCAGCTAACGTCTCTTAGAAACCAATGCCTAAACCTCTGTGGCAGGTAACCTCCAACCCACCATTCTTCCTCCCCACCATGCTGCCTTTCTCTGAGGGGGCAAACTCAGCCCTTCCTCCACAGGCAGAGGATGATGGGGCTGCAAGATGCCACCCTCCGAAGGCCCCACAGACAGCCTCTCTGTTCTCACTGTGTCTTCTTTCCTCCAGGGACCATAGTCATCGTCAGTGGCTGGGGGAAGCAGTTCTTGCAGAGTTTCCCGGAGACCCTGATGGAGGTGAAGTTCGATTTATCTCCTTCAGAGGGTGACACCTCTGCCCTGCATTGGACCTTCCATAGCACCCCTGAGAAATTTGGAGGCTTGGGCAGAGGGAGGGGGCAAGAGAGGTGCTAGAGGCCCAGACTCACCTCTAAAGTTAAGTGGGACTTTGAATCCCAACAAGCTTGATCTGTTCGCTCTACATGTCGGGGGGCTCTGGTCTGTAAACGTTTTTCAGTGTTTCTGTGGCATACTAAAGGCTCAATTCTTGGAAATTCTTCCAGAAAATAGCAGGCTTGGACACCCCAGAAGGTGATCCATCTATACATCACAAAGACTGACATAACAGAGTAACCAAGATGGGCCAAAGAAGGGGCCTTGAGAGCTACAGTCCTTGCAGTAATGAAATTGACTCTTGCATTTAGAAGTTCACATTCTCCATGGATGCAGAACCCTTGAATATGAAGGGCCAACTGCATGAGTTACTCTGTGTGCTTGTCTACACCTAATATTGTCAGACCTTTTCATTTTAACCATTCTAGTAGTGTGTAGTAGTATTTCCTTGTAACTTTACTCTGCATTTCCCTAATGACTAATAACGTTCAACATATTTTCATATGCTTATTGGCCATTTATGTATCTTCTTTAGTGAAGTGACTATTCAAATATTTGGGGGGGGATTTGTCTTCTTACTATTGAGATGTAGGAGTTCTTTATTTTGGATATAAGTCTTTCGTCAGTGTATATATTGTGAATATAGTTTTCTCAGTGACTGAAAAAAAAAAGAGGAAGTTTACATTCTTGTCATTTCAGAAAAGAACACTGAACTAGGAGTAAGGAGCCATGGCATCAATTCCTGGCTCCTAGTAACCCGCTGGGTGATCTTAAACAAGCCATCTTGCCTCTCTCGACTGCAGTGTAATATCTCAAGCTGCAAAGTCACAGGCAACACTAGATGTCCTCCAAGAGCTGCCTGGCTCAGACATTCCCAGGCTCTATGACTGCCACAGCTAGCTCCTAAATCCTTCAACATATGTTATTTTAACATACTTTAACATTTTGGATTTGCAAGAACTATTTATCCTTTTAATCATTAACTCCCCAGTGTTTATTTGGTGCCTCGCATGTACCAGACATTGTGCTAGTTACTTGGTGTGCTGGGGGGGTGAAAAGGACAGATCTGGCCCCTGGCCTCCTTGGGCTTACAGTCAAGTGGGAGAGACAGAAAACAGTTATCGATGTGATAGATGGAATGAAGAAGTGCAGGATGCTCTGGACTGTACAGCATGGACTCTGACCTCACCCTAGGGGTTCAGAAGGGCTTCCCAGAGGAAACGACATTTAAATGATGCGTGAGCGATGGAGAGAGGTTAGTCAGGCCCTCGACAGTTTGCTGAGAATGTGTTCATGACCTTTCCTTGCCCTGACTTCCTCTCCCCACTTTTCTGAGAAGGCCAAGGCCCCAGAGGGACCTAAATGCCTCTTGTCCCCTCCCAGCCAGGGTAGGCAGGAGTTGGGCTTTTGGGGGATGTAACCATTCAATTCTTGGTTTGACTGAATGAGATTCATGTTTCCTCTTTTTATTCCAGACATCTACTCCAACTTTTACTCCCAAGCTGAGTCCAGGACAATAATAATGACAATACTTTTTACTTTTGTGTATCAATTTATCATCTCAATTCAAAATAATATTTCCTGAGTACCATCTATATTCCATGCTATGCAAGACATGTAAGATAAGATACTGGGACAGTATATACAGCCAGTGTCTGGAAGCTCCTACTCTAGTGGGGGAGAACGTAAGTGAATGCTTGCTGCAGTGTGCTAGCACGCAGTGCGTGCTGGCCCTACACCACCTACCAGTTATGCAGTGCTTGTCATTTATAGAGCATCTGCTCCTCATCTCCCCTTTGCACAACAGCTCCATGTGATTAGTAAGTCAAATGTTCTGACTTCCATTTTTCAGATGAGGAAACAGTCTCAGAGGTCTGGAAAGCAGTGACTAATTACGTGCCCCAGGTCCCACAACCAGTAATGGGAGGGGTGGGGAAATGAAGATTGCCCAGAGGCTTTGTGTGCATTGCCATATTTGAAATAATGCATGTGTTAGGCAAGTATTATTATCTCCGTTTTACAGATGAGAAAAACTGAGGTCCAGAGAGGGAAAATTACATGCTCAAGGTCACACAGCAAATGCATGACTAAGACTGTACCAGAACATGGATCTGATTCTCCATTCAGTGTTCTTTCACCTGGACTGTAGGGCAGTTTCTGAGACCAGGTCTAAGGTAGACCCAGGCTCATCCAGGAAGGGGGGTGGGGAAGAGTCAGCTCTACTGGTGTCAGAACAGCAGGGTTCCTCAGTCAGGAGTGGGGTCCAACAGTGTCCTTATGTTCCAGATCGAAATCCCAATTGTTGACCACCGCACCTGCCAGGAGGCCTATGCCCCACTGAAGAAGAATGTGACCAGAGATATGATCTGTGCAGGGGAGAAGGAAGGTAAGTCAAGAGGCTGGCATACATCAGGGCACTACCGGCCAGGGAGGGGCACAGAGCCCAAGGATGGAAGGGCTGAAGACCTTGGGGCTGGCAGGCTGAGCAGCTGAGGCATGAGAGGAGCAAGGCAGAGGACGGGGAGGATGTCAGGAGAGGAAGGATTCCACTGGAGAAAATGCATCAGAAAGAAGAGAGCTAAATAAGGAATTTCTGTAATTCCCTTCTCCCAGCCCAACTTTTTCCCTGTGAAATTAGAGAGGCCTGCACCTGCGCTTTCTAAAATGAGGAGGCCTGACCTTCAACAGCTCAGAGCCCAAGTTTGTATCAAATGGTCTTCTCCGCCCCCTGGTGCCCAGTTCTCTGAACTACAGGTCAGTTGTGAGGAGAAAGAAGCTCCTCTGGATTTGGGGCTAGGGAAGGAGACACTTTAACCTGCATCTCTTCTTCCTCTAGGGGGGATGGACGCCTGTTCGGGTGACTCTGGAGGCCCCATGGTAACCCTGGATATAGAGAGAGGCCAGTGGTACCTGGTGGGCACGGTGTCCTGGGGCGTGGACTGTGGAAAGAAGGACCGCTACGGAGTGTATTCCTACATCTTCCACAACAAGGACTGGATCCAGAGGGTCACCAGGATGAAGAGTTGAATCCAGTCCTTCTTCCCCACCTCACCTGTCCGCGGTCAGTCAGCAACAGAGGACAATTATCTGATGCAAGACCCTCCTCAACCTACACCCACCTCATTCAGCCCATCTATTGCTGGCCACTGAAGGGGGCGTCTCAGCCCCCTTCTCGCTCTCTTCAAAGAAGCAGAGTCGCAGAGTGGTCAGAATCCAGGTTGTATCACTCACTAGCTTTGCAACACTGGGCAGGTGACTTCACCTCTTTGACAGTCAGTTTCTTCGTCCATTTTACGGAAATGGCATACCTTACCTACCTCATGAAAGTTTGATGAGGATCAAATGAATATATACATAGCACTTAGCACAGTGCAGGCATAAACTAAGTGCTCAATAAACGTGACTTTAAAAAAAATCTAAACAAATAAACGTGGCTTAGCAGAAGGCCAGCACATCCACCAGGCACATTAATTTCTCTTACAAACTCTGGCTGGGTCTTAGGGCTAATCAGTGTGTACGCTTCTCGACCTTCACCATTTCCTTCATCTGCCCCCATATGCTCTATGCTTCTTTGCTACCATGCCTTTTGCCACCCCAACCCCCCTCCCAATGAAAAGGTAAAAGATACAAGGTTCTTAGTCTATGGAATGTCCTATAGTGATGCATTTATGACTTTGATCTAGACACCAACTGTGAGAGTCATTTCAGAAAAGAGAGTAGCAGGGGCAGGGACTGGGGAGACTGGGAATGGTGAATCGGGAAGTCAGACAGCAGATTCTAGAACCAATTCTGGCCCCAGCTCCCTGTGACTCTATGCAAAGCCTTTCCCCTCTTCCCAAAGGACCCTCCCAGCTATGACAATCTAGGAACCAATGAGCCACTTCTCCCTGATGAGATGAGTTAAAGCCAAAATAACCAAAAGGCAAAAATTGCCTTAGGTTCAATAGAGCTTTAATGCAGACCAAATACTGCAGCTACCGCAATGCCCACCCCTGTGCACCACATCCTGGTGCCAAAGGACGTGGCCCAGGCAAAGCGCTAGCCAAGGCATCTCTCCTTATTCCTAAGCAGAGCATCTGCTCAAGGCCCCAGCCTCCTTTTCTTCCTGGGAAACTGAGCTGCACAAGGTAGGCCCTGGGAGGCTAGATTCAGACCCCTGTACTCTCTCTCTGCATATCCACAGCTGACCCTAAGCCACCATTCCCCTGGTACCTCACCCCTGTTCCTCATGCTAAACACCCCAGCCCTTCAGAGTCCCATGTATTTCCCAAGCAGAATGCTTCTCCCCTCCAAGAGCCACCTCCTCTCTCAGGAAGCTTCCAGGGACCTCATCCCCTCCAGAGTGTTGAGATCTAAGCCCTTCAAGGGGTCAGAAGCCCCAAGTCCTTGTCTTCTGTTCTATCAAATGTGCTCTTTATGGGGGATTTCAGTTCTTGACCTGTACTGCAGCTGCTGGACTGATTCAGGGTCTCTTACTGAAAGAAGATACTGAGGAGTGAGGACCTGTGGATGCTAAGCCCCAGGCTGAACACTCAGGCACAGCAATTCACAGCCTGCCTTCTGATTCTCTGAGCACATCATTCTACCTCTCTGTGCCCTGCTGTTTACTCTGTAAAGGGAAGATGGCAATGGCTCTCAACTGCACCAGGCATTTGTCAGGCAAACTGGAGCTCTATTTCAGACACCAAAGAGGAACTGCAATGCAAAGTTTTGGAATTGCCCTAATGCATTCCAAGCACCATGCCTTCCCATTTCACTGCCCCATCTACCAGGCTGTGCTGACTGCTATAGGGACCACGAAGATGATGCACACCTTCCAGGAGCTCCTACAGGAAGAACTGACACACACACAGGTGAATACCATGAAAAGAATGAACTCTGTCAAGTGCGATGTGTTGAAGCAGCACGGAGGTAGAAGATAGGCCATTACAGCATGGAGCCATTGGAGGAGAGGGCACCAGGAGGGTGTCCCAGAGGAGATGGTGTTGGAGCTGAGCCTTGAGGAGGGTGGGAATTTCCACAGGTAAGACAGAGGGAGGCCTTCCAGGACAAGAGTACATGTCCACTCAGGCTTTCACACTAGCTTCTCTCCCAAAAATAACATGCCCAGCAGGCCAGTGGTCAGATTCTGGGATTAGAGCCAATATCTAGAAGAACTTTCCTCCTTAAAGTCAGACAACTATGGGACTTGAAGCAACCTCAGAATTTGTGTACAAATACTGACTTCTGGCTGGACCCAGTTTATCCTGTTTATTCCCCCAACTGCAACTTCATCCTTCTGAGGGATATATAGACATGCTGTGGAACTTCACCTCACCCTTCATCTACAAGCATGTTAGATATACTGCCCCTGCACTGCTGCTGAGGTCCAAGAAACCCAAATTTCTTAGAGTCATGGAAGCAGAGGGTTGAAGTATGTGTTAGGACCATATTGTGACCTTGTTCTTGAACATTTCTAGAGACAAGAAACTCACTACCTCCAAATATAGCCAATTTCAACTTCAAGATGTGCTGTCTTTTGGAAAGATCTCTATGCAACCCAAATCCCTAGAATATATTTAGTTTGTATATCTAAAGCTATGATTCCACACCATGAATGTTGTTACTAGCAATAATGATCATGCCCAATTTCATCAGAAATAGAAGCTATTGTTCTACAACATGTGTAGCTGTAACTACACATTTGTTCCAATAAACATCTGCATTGAGTCAAAGCACCCTGTTTGGCTTGTAGGTTTTTCGTGCACTGGTGGTTCTGGTGAGTTGTGTTTTCATTTATCCACATTTCTCTGTATCCAAATAGGATCACTATACCATGAAGAAAGAAAGAGATTATGATGGGAAGATCAAATGCCTGATACAAAAGCACTTCTTAGGCTTCTCAGGTCAGTTCTGATTAAATACTTTATCCTATTGTTTCAGTAAATTATGAGAATGTCCCGGGGTGCCAATCTTTCAATATTCAAATTACTTTTCTTGATCATCACCCATGCTCCAAATGGAAAAAGTATTTTTTTGATCATGTGTTCAATTGTTTGGTTCAGAAAATAGGGCACCATGTCTATGAGTGGCCTGTTCTAAATTGGAGTATGTACTTTCCTTCTGCCATGAGTTAATCTTCTTCCCTGGTGGCAGGAATTAAAGAATCAGCACCACCAAGAAGTCCTTCAAATAAGGGAAGGCAAGAATCATGGAAGGAAAATCTATACCCATCATGCAGCACACAGAATGGCCAATCTGGATCTAGAATGGGTCTTGAAATCAAGAGACTTAGGTTCTAATGCAAGCATAGGTTGACTCTTTTAATTTCTCCATCTATAAACTGGCAGAAAAATCTTTGTCCTATCCCTGTTTGAGGACTGTTGAATCAGGTGAATTAGCATATAAGAAAGAACTTTAGAAACAAAATTAGCACAAATATTAAAAGTTCTATGGGAAATAGTCACTAACATTTTTGAGTATTTGCTATGATTGAGACCACACTAATTCTCTAATTTAGTCCTCACAATAATCTGTAACAAAAGTACTATTATTATCCCCATTTTAAAGGTAAGCAAACTGAAATACAATGAGGTTAAAACTGTGGCCCCACCTAGGCACAGCCACAACCCAGTAGCAATGAGCACATCTACTGTCCAGATTTTGGTTTCTAACACTTCTCCAATAAAAGAAACAAGGACTTCTTTCAGACATGGCTGATTCTAGGGTGAGGGCAGGAAATATACAAGCATCTTATACCAGAAATGAAGGAAGTCACACAATGATAGGGATATCTCAGAGGGACACAGGAACCAACTGGAGGTGCTCAAATGGTACAATTTGAGCAGTAAGACAAATAAAATAGTATTGGAGTATAACCCATTGTATAAAATAAATACCCATAAATATATACTTACATGAATAAATAATTGAATAAATAAATGGGGGGAGAATAGAAAGTAATTTATGTAAATACTTTGCTATAAAGGAGACGGAACATAACTCCCCATCCCTTAAGTGTGGGCTGCATAATAGTGACCTCTTCCCAAAGAGTACAATAAAATGGGACCCGGTGGGGAGGAAGAACCTGACAAAACACTGCCTCAGCCAGGTGATCACAGTTAATATCAACTGTGAAAAGTCACACTGATAGTTTGTGACTTTGATATGCTATGATGAAAATGTCACAGTAACTCTGTGTTCTTCCTCCCCAGATCTCATAATCCCACTCTAATCATGAGGAATATTCTACAAAATACTTAACCAATACTCCTCAGAGCTGTTGAGATCATCAATAACAAGGAAAGTCTGAGAAACTGTCTCAGCTAAGAGGAGCCTGTAACGGGTTGAATTGTATCCCCCAAAAAAGATGTGTAGAAACCCTAACCCTCAGGACCTCCAAATGAGACCTTATTTGGAAATAGGGCACTTGCAGATGTAATTAATTAAGACAAGGTTATACTGGAGTAGGGTGGGCCCTTAATCCAATATGACTGGTGTCCTTATAAGATGAGGAGATGAGGAATATTACTCAGCCATAAAAAGGAATGAAATAATGCCATTTGCAACAACATGGATGGACCTAGAGAATATGCTAAGTGAAGTAAGTGAGACAGAGAAAGACAGATATATTATATGTTATCACTTATACAAATTATCTAAAAAATAGTGTAAAAGAATCTATATACAAAACGGAAACAGGCCCATAGACATAGAAAACAAACCTATGGTTACCAAAGGGGAGCAGGGAGGACAGATAAATTAGGAGTACAGGAATAACAGACACACATTACTGTACATAAAATAGATAAGCAACAAGGATTTACTGTATAACACAGGGGAATATATTCAACATCTTGTAATAAGCTATAACAGAAAATAATCTGAAAACATATAGACTATATATAACTGAGTCACTTTGCTATACACCTGAAACTAACACAACATTGTAAATCAACTATACTTCACTAAAAAAGAGAGAGAGAAGATGAAACACAGAGACACAAACACATGAGGGGAGTACACCATGTGACAATGGAGGCTGAGCTTGAAATCCCACAGCTGGGGCCAAGGAATGCCAAGGATTTCCAGCAAACTCCCAGAAGCGAGGAAAGGCCAGGAAGGATTCTCTCAGGAAGGTTTCAGAGGGAGCATAGCCCTGCCAACACTTTGATTTCAGACCTCTAGCCTCCAAAAATGTGAGGCAATACATGTCTGTTGTTTTAAGCCACCCAGTTTGAAGTGCTGAGTTATGGCAGTCCTGGGACACAAGTACAGAGCCCAAGGAGACATCCTTATATGATATCCTGGGACAGAAGAAAGACATTAGGTAAAAGCTAAGGAAATCTGAATACAGTATGGACTTTAGTCAAAAATAACATACCAGTATTGGTTTATTAATTGTGACAAAGGTACTGTACTAATGTGAGATGTTAATAACAGGGGAAACTGGTGACTGGTATATGGGAACTTTGCCTATCATCCTTACAACTATTCTGCAAATCCAATGCTATTCTAAAATTAAAAGTTTATATTTAAAAAAAAATGTGACCTAGAATCTTAGAGCTAGGAAATAGGGGAACTGGGATTTGAAACCAGTTCTGATGGACTCTGGAACCCAAGCTCTTACTCCAGTGCTCCTATACCAGTGGTTCTCAAACTAGGCTGCACACAAAGTAGGCTGGTTTAAAGTTTTTTTTAATACCGTAAAGAAATACTGATGCCAGAGTTACACCCTGCAGAGATTCAAATATAATCAGTCTGGAGTAAGGCTGAGCATCTCAGGATTGAGGTGAGGTGGGGGTTAGTCAAAAGTTCTCCAGGTGATTCTAATGTGCACCCAGTTTGAGATCCATGTTTCCAGGCTATCCTGCCAGTGTGTGATCCTGTAAGAATGTTGGGAGCCTTTATTTCCCAAGCTTGAGTCTTTTGACTTAGGTCCTGCGTCCGGTGAGAGGCAGAAGAGAGGCAGACGCCCTGCTGCTCCAGCCCTAGTCCAGAACTTTTCTGTGACTCCAGCAGCTACACCACCACCAACACATTTCAGCATCGATGTCTTCCTGGAGAGAATGGTGCTCTTTTATTTCGCAGTGGTCAATGGAAGGGAAAAGCCACGCAGGTACAGGCAACAGCAAATGCGAAAGCAGGGATATGAAAGGGCAGTGAGTATTTGGGGGAAACAGTGACTTGGTGCCCTAGATTGCCAGATAAATTGGGGAAAAAAGAATACCATCAGGAAGTGTTGGCCTGGGATGCTCAGCGTGGTTTTGGGAATGGGGAAACGTTTGAGGGTTTTGGACCAGAAAGAGACATGATCAGCTTTCCCTTTCAAATCAGGCTTTAGTGCAGAGAGTAAACTGAGGAAGAAGAGCCTAAAGATAGGGAGACTAATTTAAGGAGACTCAAACTTCTGTCAACACTTGAGGATGAATTAGTAGAGAGTAGAGAGGAAACAGGGCAGGGACCAAAATCCAAAGACAGTAATGGTTTTCAGGTTCCTGGGCCTTTTATGACCTGCTGGCATCAGTGCTGTCTCCAGAAAGGAAGCCATGACATTTTCTGAACTTGAGGGAAGGAGACTAACAGGGCCTTTGTGATCGCCTCCTGTGTCTGGTATGTGTTGGCTTTTTTTCAAGAAGATAAGGAAATGTTTTTTGTATGCAAAAACACAGGCTCAGTTCCCAGCAATGAACTTCTGATCACAGGCAAAAGAGGCAGGACTCTCAATATTCAGGCAGATGACAAGGGAGGCCCCTCTGAGGGATGGGGACAAGACGGTGTTATGACAAGGGGAAGATGTGTTGAGCCTGGACACTTCCCAGGGCAAGCATGCAGAATGACAACGGATCAGTGTGGGTGGGAACATATCTCCCCCTCCAACATCCTCAGTCCCAGTGGAGACCTCTGCAAAGTAACATGCCAACAGGCCAATACCAACGAAAGCCAGCCCCGGGGACCCAAAGGGCCCGGGGTAGAT